TCGATCTGACTGAACCAGAGAAGGCCTTTGACTGGATAAGAAACAGGAAAATCTTAGGGTCGATTTAACTGAACCGATCAAGGTCTTGAAATCTTCAACTGGATAAGAATCAGGGAGATCTTAGGGTCGATCTGACTGAACCAGAGAAGGCCTTTGACAGGATAAGAAACAGAAAAATCTTAGGGGCGATTTAACTGAACCGGTCTAGGTCTTGAAATATAGCTGAGAACTCGACTGAATTTTTCCTGAAAGGTAAAGGTCAGTCATATGCAATGCATGATATGGATCAAGCAATGATGTTCTCAACATAAATGAGATTTGTAAGATATGATGCGTATATGCATGCTATAATGTATGGAGATGTGATGTTTATGAATGTATCTTGGTTGTCTAGGAAAGTAAATCCTTGACGGGTGCCGGGAAGTCATGTCCTGGGCTGATGTTGAAGAATAGATTTTGCTTCCGCTGGGGATGATAGTTGCAAGAATACCGGTAGGAGAAGATAACTCCGTTGGGGAATAAACTTGGCGAGTGGATTACTCTGCGGGGAGAAAAGTATTCTGACGATCTTGCTGGGAAGCAATACTCTGTGGGGAGAGAGATACTTTGTTGAAATGTTGATGGTAACTTTGCTGGGGATACCATTGTTGTGTTGGAAGTGTTAATAGACTTCGCTGGGGATAAGAAGACTTCGCCGAGGACGATCTTCTCATGGCCTTTGGCTGAGGATAACCCAGTTGGTAGGGAAATAACTCTTTGAATAAAGCCGGGAGACGCGTTCGTGCTCTGCGAGGATAAGCTTCCAGAATCTACTGGGGATAAGCTTACTGCTTGGGGAGATGGATTCCAACTTTCCTGGGGAAACTGGATTGGACTCTCTTGGGGAAGTTTTGAACGGTATCGGGGAGGTGACTCCATTGAATGTCTGGTATACCGCCGGGGAACAATCTTTAGACCAAGACTGCCGGGGATGCTTGTTAAGAATGCATACATTCTGCTGGGGAATGTTGAGATCTGCGGGAGGATACCCAACTTCCTTAAGTTTGATAATAGCTTTGCTTGGGGAGAGTGCACTGACTTGCTGGCTCACTCTCTGGGGAATTAAGATATCTGGTTATGTTCTTTAGCTGAACCTACCTTGGTACCTTGGAGGACAGAACAATTAGATTGCTTAGACAACTCTTTATTGCCCCTGTTTCTAATGTTACCTGTAATTAATCCTTTGTTTCGTATGCAAATATTCATGAGTTAGCAAATTATTGTCAATGCATATATCACAAATTGAACCTTGGACGTTCTTCGCAAAACAAAACAGAAAAGGAAAAACAATTGGCAATTTTAACTGAAAAGTATATTTGTATTGATTTTTTTGAATTTGCCTGTAAAGTAGGCGTTTATGTACAAGAGGCTGACGTCCTAGTAAGAGGACGCCGCTGAACAAAAGAGTTTATACAATTTGTACAAAAGAAAATAAAACAGCTGTGTGAAATGAATGATCCCACTGGGTTTCAACTCTGCTATTGCCCTTATATCTCCGAGCGTCTCATCACTTGATGACCTTAGTTGAAGATGAAGCTGACTGATTGATGCCGTCTGAACTTGATGTTGATATCGGATTCTGGATGCAAAGTGATCCAATGAGACATAGTATTATGCTTTATCCCTAACTTTTTCCTGGACCGCCCTTTCGTGTTTTCAGTCCACCGGGATACCCATTTTTGCCCAAGCCGCCTTCTCAGGTTTTCGACTTGCCGGGTGTACATATTTTTTTTTATTTCATCCCTTCATTTTTCCCGAACCCTTTTGGTTCGTCGGGAAGCCCTAATTTTTGCCTAGGTATGTCAACCTAGCGGGTCTTTTTTATGCGTAGTATCTTTTTACTATGTCTGCATTGGCGGGGTGAGGAAGGTCGTCACCATCCATGTTGGTTAGAATCATGGCTCCTCCTGAGAACACATGTTTAACCACAAATGGCCCTTCGTACGTAGGGGTCCATTTGCCCCTTGGATCACTCTGAGGAAGAATGATTCGCTTGATTACCAAATCCCCAACTTGATATTCCTGTGGTCTGACCTTTTTGTTAAATGCCCTGATCATCCGTTTCTGATACGTCTGACCATGATAGATAGCAGCGAGTCTCTTTTCATCAATAAGGTTTAATTGATCAAGTCGTGTCTGGATCCAATCATCTTCGTTCAGATTTGCATCCTTCATTATCCGGAGAGAGGGTATTTGCACTTCGATCGGTAAGACTGCTTCCATACCGTAGACCAAGGAGAAAGGAGTTGCCCCGGTTGACGTCCTGGCTGAGGTACGGTACCCATGTAGAGCGAACGGTAACATCTCGTGCCAATCTTTATAAGTCACTGTCATCTTCTGCACGATTTTCTTAATGTTCTTATTTGCTGCTTCTACAGCCCCATTCATCTTCGGTCTGTAAGGAGAAGAGTTATGGTGCTGTATCTTAAACTGCTCGCAGAGCTCAGTGATCATCTTGTTATTGAGATTGGTACCGTTGTCTGTAATAATTCTTTCTGGGACGCCGTACCGACAGATCAGATTGTGCCGAATGAACCGTGCCACAACAGTCTTGGTTACTGTAGCGTAGGAAGCTGCTTCAACCCACTTCGTGAAGTAATCAATCGCTACCAGGATGAAGCGATGCCCATTGGACGCTGTAGGTTTAATATCACCGATCATATCTATGCCCCACATTGCAAACGGCCAAGGCGCAGTCAGAACATTTAGAGGAACTGGAGGAACATGCACCTTGTCTGCGTATATCTGGAATTTATGGCATGTCCGAGAGTGTTGGTAACAGTCGGCTTCCATGGTGGACCAGAAATACCCTGCCCGAAGGATCTTCTTTGCCATAGTGTGTCCAATAGAATGTGTTCCGAAGTTCCCTTCATGTAACTCTTCCATGATCCTTTCTGCTTCAGTCTTATCCACACAACGCAGTAAGGTCGAATCATGGTCTCGCTTGTACAAGATGCCGTTGCTAAGGAAGAACTTCGTTGCGAACCTTCTCATAAACTTTTTATCGTTGACAGATGCACCTTCAGGGTATTCCTGAGCTTCCAAGTATCTCTTCACCTCATGGTACCAAGGCTTCTCAGTCACCAATTCAGTCTCGAGATCACAACAGTATGCCGGTTCGTCCAGTTTCCAGATGATGATCCGAGGAGCCTCATTGTCCCATTTGACCTTGAACATAGAAGACATTGTAGCTAACGCGTCCGCCAACTGATTCTCTTCTCTCAGAAAGTGTTCAAAGGTTATCTCTGTGAAGTGGGGAATCAAGGTCAACACACATTCTTTGTAAGGAATAAGATTCGGATGTTTCGTATCCCACTCTCCTTTGATCTGATTGATCACGAGAGCGGAATCTCCGAAGACACTCAGAAACTTGATCCTTAAGTCGATCGCAGCTTGGAGACCCATGATGCATGCCTCATACTCCGCCATGTTGTTGGTGCAGTTGAAACATAGCCGGGCAGTGAGTGGAGTATGAGTGCCTTGAGGGGATATGATCACAGCGCCGATACCATTACCCAAAGTGTTGGAGGCTCCGTCAAAGTGCATAGACCATCGAGATCCTTCCTCAGGTCCTTCATCCGGTCCAGGTACTTCACAATCAGTCACTATCATGATGCTCTCGTCCAGAAACTCGAAGTTCATTGACTGATAATCGTCTACTGCCTGATGTGCCAAGTGGTCTGCCAATACACTACCTTTGATGGCTTTCTGGGTTGTGTACTGGATGTCGTATTCTGTCAAGATCATTTGCCATCTTGCTATTCTCCCACACTACAAGAAAAAAAGAGATTTACGACACATAAATTGCGACAGTTCCCACAAAACCGTCCTTATTCCTGAATTGCGACAGTTGTCACGACGGTTAGGCTCAACCGTCGTAGATTTTCAAGCATTATGAGTAACATAATTGCGACAGTTACCAAAAAACCGCCCTCTTTTCACATCCGCGACAATTAGGTGAACTGTCGTAACTACATTAGCCAATCATAATCGCTACTTTTTTTTATTCTTTTACTTTCCCACTTTTTTTCTTTCATTTCCCCTTCTTTTTCTCTTTTATTAATAATAATAATAATAATAATAATAATAATAATAATAATAATAATAATAATAATAATAATAATAAAATAAATTACCAACAAAATAAATTTTCACACCCATCATTATTATTTTAAGATTTTCATAATTTTATTTATTAAATTACAATTTCCTTTATATTTTTCTTCTTTATTTATTTAAGATTTTAATTCCATCCACATTTCTAATTTTAAGAAAGAAGTTTTATCTTTTTATCTTTTATTTTATTATTTTAAGTTAACAAATAATATATATATATATATATATATATATATATATATATATATATATATATATATATATATATATGATATCACAAAATGTTAGTAATTCATTTTTAAACAAAATATCAATTTACTTTTACAGTATCCTTCGTCCGATCCGTAACAATGGATTCATGGTCTGATCTCCAGATCAAGAAAATGGAAGCCGGTGGTAACCGCAATCTCAATTCGTTTCTCTCTCAATACGGAATTCCCAAGGAAACAGATATTATAACTAAGTATAATTCTAACGCGGCTTCGATCTACCGCGATCGGATTCAGGCTCTCGCTGAAGGTCGCTCGTGGCGGGATCCGCCGGTTGTTAAGGAGAATGCTAATACTAATTCTCGATCTGGTAATGGTAATGGTAAGGGGAAGCCGCCTCTTGCTGCTGGTTCTAATGGAGGTTGGGATGATAATTGGGGTAATGATAATGATGATGGTTATGGATCTCGCGGCGGTGGTGGTGATTTTCGGAGGAATCAGTCTACTGGTGATGTTATGGGGTTTGGTGGAGGAGGGATTGCACCGTCGCCCAGGTCGAAGTCGACGGAGGATATTTATACAAGGACACAATTGTAGGCTTCTGCTGCTAACAAGGAAGGGTTTTTCGCGAAGAAGATGGCGATGAATGGAGCGAGACCGGAGGGGCTTCCTCCCTCGCAGGGTGGGAAGTATGTTGGATTTGGATCTAGTCCAAATCCTTCTCAGAAGATGTCTAATCAAAGTGATTATTTATCTGTTGTTTCTGAGGTTATACTCTGAATCTTGCTTTTGTTTATGGGAAATGGTTTATTGTTTGTTGAGATGTGTTTCTGTGTTGTGTGTTTTCAGGGAATTGGTAAATTATCGATGGTTGCTCAGTCTGCAACCAAGGAGATCACTGCCAAGGTAATTTGCATAGTTAGTACATTGTTTGTGAATTGTGATCCTATTTTCTATAAAAAGTACTACATCTTTTGTGTTTTTTGTTAAGCTTCTTTCTATTTTGAATTTGATGCATTTTGGTATTTAACACCACGGATCTTGGGGAAGGGGGCTGGGGATAGTAATCCGGAGTTTGGAGTTTGGTAGAGAGGGAAGTAAACCCTGACTGAAGAATGTTATTGCCAGGGATCAAACTCGGGTACTCGGGATCAGTTTGTCCTTAACCCAAACTCACAACTAATTGGCATATGAGGTGTGTGATGTGTGAATAATTTATTGATATGTAATGTAATTTTTATGTCTCCTTGGAGTTTTCCTTGATTCTGAGGATGAAGAACTATGACGAATAAAGGTTATACTGAATATATTTGAAGAGAGAATAAAATAACTTCCAATCTTATTGGCTATTGAATTCTATATTTATGTTTGATAATATATTGTTTTTAACATGTTCTAACTTATGAGATTAAGTTATGTCAGTGTCTTTTAAAAGGACCTGCAGCGTGATTCTGAAAATCATTATTTATTAAAAAATTGATATTTATTCTTATGTTTAATTTGAAATTACTCTTTGTTGTAAATGATTATAAACTCAATCAATTTTAATGGATATACTGGTAATGTTGTTATTACCCGTCATGCTTTATGGAGCCACTTGTAAGCGTGAGCCTGGCAGTGACACTTACCCAAACGTTCTCTAATGGAGAATCAATTCAAAGTCAGTCCATTAGGATTGATTACAAAGGTAAACAGTCACCATTGTACTACAACCAAGGAATTATCCGAGCCTGTTTCTTACAGCTGCAAATATGATGTTTCTGCATTTCAGATTCAAAACATTCTGAACTTGCTTGATACAGAAAAAATAATTGATGCTGAAAATGAGAAGAACCTTTACTGTTTTCTCTCTATCAAGTATCACATATTGAAAATTAAATCCTTTCCACGTGTCACCTTCCATCCTTTGTTTTGTTTAACCATGGCTAAAAAATTAGGAAAAGTTGTCCCTTAAAATGCATATTTCCTCAAAATCCAACCAGTTGTTATTTTTTAACAGCTTTTCTCTGAAATTAATTACTACTCTTTGTATATTGCAGTTTTGACTCGTCTTGCTTCTCCGTCGTTGAAGGTCCACCGTCCGGAAACCGTCAAACATTCAAGGAAGGATCATGGTCCTAGCATGGAAGTTTAACACAAAATCACTTAACACTAAGGACTTTCATGAATTTTGTAGAATATTGTAACATTTTTTGTAATTCTCTCAAGTTGTAGCAAACCAATGTAAATATTAAAATGAAATTTGGCCTTTGATGATATTTGAATTTTTCTTGTTTATTGGTAAAATTTGCACTTCTTTTTACCTTTGATCACATTTTTTTGATATTATTGATGATTATTTGATATTAAATGTTTTTATTGTAATCAACTTTATTATGTTGAAAAGTGATAGAAAATAAAATAAAAAAACTATAAATAAAAAAATATTAAAGTAAATAATAATTTAAATATAATAGTAAAATATTATAGTAAAATAATATTATATTTAAAATTATTTTACTAAATAATAATTTAAATAAAAATATTATTTGAAATTTATAAATCAGATTACGACGGTTAAAACCGCCGCAATTTCTAACCTACGGCGGTAGAATAACCGTCGCAAACAACAACAAAAACAAAAAATAAAGTCAAATTCACGACGGTATATAACCGTCGCTATCTGTTGTGCGTGACAGTTTTTGCAACCGTCGCGAAATAGGCTGGGGACGCACGATTCTGCGACGGTACTTCTACCGTCGTAGATTGTAAATTGCGACGGTTTTAACCGTCGTAATCAGCCAAAATAACCGTCCCAATCTATCATTTTTCTTGTAGTGCCAGACAGAGCAGGCTTTTCGAATATGTACTTTATAGGATCCATCTTTGAGATCAACAAGGTAGTGTGAGTCAGCATATACTGTCTCAACCGGCGAGCAGCCCATACCAAAGCGCAGCAAGTTTTCTCAAGCAGTGAGTATCGGGTCTCACAGTCGGTAAACTTTTTGCTAAGGTAATAAATGGCATGCTCTTTTCGGCCAGACTCGTCATGCTGCCCCAGCACACACCCCATTGAGTTGTCAAGTACTGTCAGGTATAATATCAGAGGTCTCCCCTCAACCGGTGGCATAAGAATGGGTGGTTCTTGGAGATACTCTTTGATTTTGTCAAAAGCAGCCTGACATTCGTCATTCCAACGTACTACCTGATCTTTCTTCAGCAGCTTGAAAATTGGTTCACAGGTAGCAGTTAGGTGCGAGATGAATCGAGCAATGTAATTCAGGCGTCCTAAAAAGCCTCTGACCTCTTTCTCTGTCTTAGGAACCGACATCTCTTGAATAGCTTTAACCTTGGCAGGGTCCACTTGAATACCCTTATCACTTACAACGAAGCCTAGCAACTTTCCAGATCTTACCCCGAAGGTGCACTTGTTCGGGTTCAACCTCAGCTTGTACAACTTCAGACGGTCAAACAATTTCTGCAAATGATCTAGGTGCTCTTCCTCAGTCTGGGACCTTGCGATCATGTCGTCAACATACACTTCTATCTCATGATGGATCATATCATGAAATAAAGCAACCATGGCACGTTGGTAGGTTGCCCCAGCGTTCTTCAGTCCAAAAGGCATGACCTTGTAGCAGAAGGTGCCCCACTGAGTAACAAAGGTAGTCTTTTCCATGTCTTCAGGAGCCATCTTGATCTGATTGTAACCTGAAAAACCATCCATGAAAGAGAACACCTTATGCTGAGCAGTATTGTCAACAAGGACATCAATGTGAGGTAGGGGAAGTCATCTTTGGGGTTGGCCCTGTTCAGATCCCTGTAGTCGACACACATTCTGACCTTTCCATCTTTCTTAGGTACTGGCACCACATTAGCAACCCACTGAGGGTAAGAAGTCACTGCGAGAAACCCGACATCAAACTGTTTCATAACCTCGGCTTTGATCTTCTCAGACATCTCTGGACGCATACGGCGGACCTTTTGCTTGACCGGAGGATAGTCTTCCTTGGTAGGCAAGTGATGGACCACAATGTCGGTATCCAAACCAGGCATGTCTTCGTAGGACCAGGCAAAGATCTCCATATAATCATGTAGCATCTGAGTCAACCGTTGCTTCACGCTGAGCTCTAGGTTGGCACCAATCTTTACCTCCTTCCTGTCCGTCTCAGTACCCAGATTTATTGTTTCCACTGGCTCTTCATGTGGTTGAATTGCCCTCTCTTCCTGGAGTAACAGTCTTGCAAGCTCGCCAGGCACTTCGCAATCATCTTCACCTTCGTCTTCGGCTAAGTTGATCGGATTTTCGAAGTCATAACTGGCAGTAGCAGAGTCGTTACCAGTGAGATCAAGAGTGGATTGAAACCTGTATGAGTGAGTGTGTGTAAATACAACTGTTTTTGAAATATATAAAGGAAGGAAAGACAGAAAAGGAGCATAAGATTTGAAATGCGAGAAAACGTCCAAGATCTTTATTCATGATATATGAAATGACAATTTATATGCCCTCACAAATGAAGCCACGGTGCTCCGGGTAAGACACCGGGCCATAGAGTTTTAATTGTTTATTACAAATAACAAAACAAAGAAGTTTATTACTGCGTAACAAAAGTAACAGGAGTATGGTCTTTAGCAATCCAATTGGTCAGTACGCCATCAGTTATCGGGTAGATCCAGCTATTGAACTCAGCTTCATCCACTTCATCATCCTCTCCCACAGCATTCACCCCTGGATTGGTAATGAGTACATGAGATCTTCTGGTCTTTGCCTTCCGCATAGCCTTCTGACCCTCTGCAGTAAAACCTAGTCCGAACTTGTCCGTTTTCTGTGTAAAATCAGGGAGCCTGCCCCAGTTAGCACATTCACCTTTCTTGACCACAGCCCGGGCATCCTTCAAGGAAGCCATCTTCAAAGGAACATCCTCTTCGACCACTGTTTCTGCTGCTGCCAAAGTTGGAGGTACCTCTTCGAAATGCTGAAAGGGGGTTTCAATAAACTCCCCGTCCATCTCAATATATCTGAAGGAATTCAAATGGCTCACCATATACTCCTCTTCTCCCTGCACAGTGACAATCTTCCCTCTGACGGGGTACTTGAGCTTCTGGTGCAAGGTAGAGGTCACTGCCCCAGCTTTGTGGATCCAAGGTCGACCCAGTAGACAAGAATACGATGGACGGATATCCATCACATAAAAGGTAGAGTCGAACACCTGAGAACCCACCCGGATAGGAATGTCTACCTCTCCATGAACCATCCTCTTGGAACCGTCAAAGGCTCTGACGATGATGTTGCTAGGTTTCAGCTCCAGGCCTTCACAATCCAAACGGTCCAAGGCCTTCTTGGGTAGCACATTTAGGGAAGAACCAGTGTCCACCAACACGTGCGCCAGAGTAGTGCCCCTGCATTCAATAGAAACATGCAGGGCATCATTGTGGTCCTTTCCCTTAGCAGTAAGGTCAGCATCTGAGAAACCCAAACCATTGTCCGCTGTCAGATTTGCTACGCAATCAGTGAATTGAACTGCAGATGTTTCCTGTGGCACATGGGCCGTCTTGAGAAATGAAATCAAGGCCTTAGCATGGGCCTCTGAGCATAGTAATAAGAAGAGCATTGAGATCTTGGAGGGTGTATGCCCCAACTTCTCGACAACATTAAAGTCACTCTTCTTAATTATTTTTAGAATTTCCTCCATCTCTTGTTGGGAGGCTTCAGCAGTTACAGGTCTTGGTGCCTCCATCCGGGCAGGCTCATCTTCAATCCCTTTGCCCCGAGCATTAGATGACTCGGCAGCAGGGGACACAACTTGATCAGAACTGGGAACATGTACATTTGCAGGTGTTATAGTGAGAGGTCTTCGAATAGTTGGTGGTGCAATGTCAGGCGAGAAGAGCCTGCAACTGCGGGTAACTTTTGCTGGACCAGTGATATTGCTGATGCTGGTGCCAGTGTTGAACTCTTGTTTGATTCCATTCACATACACGTCTTCCCCATAGTGCCAGGGGACAGCCTTATTAGATTCGTAGGGGAGAGGCCCCGGAACAGTAATAACAACAGGTGCGACAATCATGATTTGAACCGGCTTCCTTGGGAGAGCCTTGATTGGATTATTAAATATTGTAACAACAGAAACTTCTTCTACCGGAACAAACTGAACAACAGTCTTCTTGAACAGAATCTCTTTGCTGTCCATTAGGCTTTGGATGCCCAACTTCAGCAAAGGACAACCAGAGAGGGAAACAGCACAGAAAAGGCAACCTTCACTACAACCCGGAAATAAACCGGCCAACAGTAGATTCCTCTTGACAGTCATTAAGGGAGTAGCCACATCATCCACAGAAATGGCATATACATCTTCATCAACAACATTTACTCCATGCTGGGGCATAGGAGCAGTCACCACATTCGGCCTCTCAGGCGCTTCAAACTGTATCTCTTTTGCATCAATAAGGTCTTGCACCTTATTCCTTAAGGCCCAACAGTCATCAGTGGAATGCCCCGGGCTATCGGAGTGATAAGCACAGCGGGCATTTGGATTGTATTTGGGGGAGGCAGTGTTTACAACCTTCGGGGCCTCTCTGACAGTCACTACTAGGTTGGTGGACAGCAACTGCGGCAAGATTTGCGATAAAGTTATACTCAAACGGGTAAACTCCCTTCTAGGTCTTTCAGCCCTTTGAGGATTGGTTTGCCGAGGAGCGGCAACAGGCTTAGCAATCATCACCGCGTTGACAGATTGGCGGCGCTCAGGCTTCTCTTGTCTTCTAGACCCGTATACAGCACTGGCCTCCTTCTTAAAGGGCTTCTTCTCAGAGCTTGACGATGCACCCTTCTGAAGTTTACCAGACTTCATCCCAGCCTCTATTCTTTCTCCAGTCAGAATAAGATCAGTAAACCCTGCAGATGAGTTACCGATGAGATGGTTGAAAAACGTCCCAGATAGGGTCCCCAAGAACATGTCTACCAACTCCCGGTCA